GCATTATAAATAAAAAGCATATATATTTGAAGAACAAATATTTCTAGATTAGAACTGAGAGAACTTCATTTCAGACTTTAAGTATAAGGAAAATTATGCTTAAATAAGAATTACGTAGTATCCTTAAACCAGGGTCATTATATTATAGCCAGTATATAAAAATGGGCTACAAACCATAACATACTGCAGACATATCATTTCCCCTGTGACCTATATCACAGTGGTTTCAAAATTGGAATGGGCAAGTGGAATATTTGTTGTTAATAATAAGAGCATGAAAAGCTGACTCACTCACTGGACAGGTATAAGATTTGTCCAAATATGTGTATGAATGAAGGGAAAATGCCTTGGAAAGCCTCTTGGTACCAGCAATAGGAGTGAGGAAACCGGAGAGGCTGAGACACAATCCTCTCTCTCACCTCACAAGTCTGGGCTCCAAGAATGAGACAGTGGGATGACAATTGTGTTGCAGACAACCTCGCGTAACTAGGTGAGATTTTACCTAGTCACTTTGAACTTTTCTGTCTTCCAAAGGAAACCTTGGGTTGAGTATCAGCCTCACCTCATCTGGCCAAGCTAGGACTGACCGTAAATAATGCCTGGGGATAGAGATGGTTTCATTATACATTACCTATTGCCCTTCCAACCCTACCACCTCTTCCTGGAGAAAAGAGCCAAGGGAGACTCCTGCTTCAGTCTGATTTATGTATTGTCTGTGTGCCTGAACCAGAGGCCCTCACTTAGGAAGAGCCTAAATTAGGAAGGATAATAAAGCAAAGAAAGGGGAAATTATGATAGAAAGGAGAGCGGCATTCAAAAGTGATAACACCAAGGAAAGAGACTATAACTCTTTTCTGTTGAAAATGCTTCAGATGCAGCGAGTAATAACTTAACAGCTTTTCCCAGATAAGTGCCAGGTGACACCTGATTTCGAGAGAAGCTGCAGAAGTTATTCTGCTCCAAGAAAAAAAGTTGGACTAAAATAAGAACTCGATAGGACAATCTGGAGAAAATAGGTAACACAGCACTTATGGACTCTATTTACTTCATTTGCTATTTTATAGGTAAACTGAGAGTGAGGATTCTTCACGCTGCTTTGAGCAGGGATTGCAAAACAGTCAAGCCTCTGCACACTGTGTGGCTGTGAATCATGAAGATAATTTACCAAGACAGCTGCTTGGACATGACAAAAACAGATTACTATTTTATGATTATTGTGTCATGCTCTCTCAAACATACCAGATGAGGTTGTTGGTACACTTTGGAGGGGCAAGTGGCATTGAAAGCCCAGTAGCCTTAAGGAATGTGAGCACTGAGGTGATGTCATAGCCACATATCTTCAATGGCTGTGCCTACATGTTTCAGAAGGGATGTTTGTGGAGAGCCTCGTGGTGCACCCAGACTGAACTGGATATAAATAGGCTATGTTCACCTAACAGTCTTATGGGGCACCCAGTGGTTTGGAGTTCCTACATGACAACCCTCACATAAGCAAGAGAACTTCTCGAAAAAATAAGCTAGTGATGAAAATAGCTAGAGGGACAGAGGAGGACTCGAATTCCTTGAATACTTTATACCTCAAGATAAATAAGGTGTGCAGTAACGATCAACGTGTTATTCAGAGGGCAGTAGGGGAAGCAGCATGCTTAGGGAAATGATAATAATAACTCATTCAATGTGTATATAATTTAATGTGTATACACTTACTGTACAGAAAATTTTATTAGTATATTCACTCTTTGAAAAAACAATAAAAAATAAATGAACACCATTTTCAAGGTAATAAAGCCAGAATTTATGAGTTTAGCCAAAGTTCACAAAATGTGAGCAAATTTAGCCAAATTATTTTATCTGAGAATAAAATTCCAATTGTCCAGACTGTCTCAATCCTAACAGTCTTCCCTGTATAGAGGTTCATTTTGTGCTGGCTAAAAATAAGACTCTGTGTTAGGTACTATAAGGATACATAATAGTATAAGATTTTATTGTTGTTTCCAAGTAGTTATCAAAGAAAATAAGAGATAAAAGATTGTTTATAAAATATTCCACACATTTTATTCAACACATTTTTATTTTAAATTTTTCTGTAAAAGAGACAGTAAAAGTAGCCATGCAGAATTTTAAAGATGAATAAAATACTCTTAACCTAAAAGATGCGTATGACAATGTCAGGGAAAGAAATACAGCCACACGAGATACAAGAATAATGATTACAGTTGGAGATCATTACACATTACCTTTTACCCTTACAACCCTACCACCTCTTCCTGAAGAAAAGAGCCCAGGGAGAATCCTGCTACAGTCTGATTTATGTATTGTCTGTGTGCCTGAACCAGAGGCCCTCACTTAGGAAGAGTCTAAATTAGGATGGATAAGATAAAGCAAAGAGGAAGGAAGGCCTTCTGTGAGAGGTGGCATTTGAAGTAAACCTGGCAGGAAAGATGAGGTTTGGCAAATGGTGATACTGGTTGAAGAAGGCTGATGTGAGAGAGATCCAAGATGGCTGATCACTAGCAGCCCAGGATTGTAGCTCCCACTAAGAACAAAAGGACGCCACACTTTCAGATCAATTTTTGTTGCTTACGCACCAGGAGATTCCCAGCGGAGGAGCCCCACGTGTCGCCAGTGCAACTCTTGAGGCTGGTGAGGCAGTTTTGCCGCTGCCTTGGTGCAGTGGTTCTTGGTGCAGAGTCAGAAAAGCACCATCAATCTTAAAGCCACTGTTTTGGCCGGTGCAGTGCGTTGCTCAGATTCTAGCGCCGGGAATCAACAAGTTGGATGTCCATTCAGAAACCCAACTATAAAGACGGTAATTATAAAGACCTCAGATGGATAAATTTATAATGAAGGGAAGAAACCAGCCTAAAAAGGCTGAGAATACCCAAAATCAGAACGCCCCTCCCTCTACAGGGGATCACAGTTCCTCATCAGCAACAGAACAAGGCCTGATGGAGAAAGACTGTGTTCCATTAGCAGAAGCTGGCTTTAAAAAGTGGATGCTAAGAAACTTCTGGGAATTAAAAGAACTTGTTCTAACCCAATGCAAAGAAACTAAGAACTTTGAAAAAAGGTTTGACGAAATGTTAACAATAACACACAATTTAAAGAGGAATATAAGTGAATTAATGGAGCTGAAAAATACAACACGAGAACTTCATGAACTATGCACAAGTTTTAACAGCCGAATTGATCAAGCAGAAGAAAAGATATCAGAGGTCAAAGACCAACTTCATGAAATAAAAAGACAAGATTAGAGAAAAAAGGATAAAGAAGAACGAGCAAAGTCTCCAAGAAATATGGGACTATGTGAAAAGACCTAATCTACGTTTGATAGGTGTACCTGAATGTGACGAAGAGAATCAATCCAAGCTGGAAAATATGCTTCAGGATATTATTCAGGAAAACTTTCCCAACCTAGCAAGGCAGGACAATATTCAACTCCAGGTAATACAGAGAACACCACATAGATATTCCTCAAGAAGACCAACCTCAAGGCACATAATCGCCAGATTCACCAAGGTTGAAATGAAAGAGAAAATACTGAGGGCAGCCAGAGAGAAAGGTCAGGTTACCCATAAAGGGAAGCCCATCAGATTCACAGCAGATCTCTCAGCAGAAACCCTACAAGACAGAAGAGAGTGGGGGCCAATATTCAACATCCTTAAAGAAAAAAACTTTCAACCCAGAATTTTACATCCAGCCAAACTAATCTTAATAAGCGAAGGAAAAATAAAATCTTTTGTGAACAAGCAAGCACTCAGAGATTTCATCACCACCAGGCCTGCTTTACAAGAGCTGCTGAAATAACCACTACAAATAGAAAGGAACAACCAGTATCAGCCTTTCTAAAAAATACCTAAAAATAAAGAACATCAACATAATTAAGAAATTGCATCAACTAATGGGCAAAACAGCCAGCTAACATTAAATGACAGTATCAAACACACATATATTGTTATTAATTCTAAATTTAAATCGACTAAATCCCCCAATCCAAAGACACAGACAGGCAAAAAAAGCCAAGACCCATTGGTATGCTACATCCTGATCCATCTCACATGCAACGATACACAAAGCCTCAAAACAAAGGGATGGAGAAAAATTTACCAACCAAATGGAGAGCAAAAATAAATAAATAGAAAGCAGGAGTTGCAATTTTTGCTGATAAAATAGACTTCAGAGCAACAAAGATCAAAAGAAGCAAAGAAGGATATTACATAAAGATAAAAGGATCCATGTAACAAGAAGACCTAAAGATCCTAAATATATATGCACCCAATACAGAAATACCCAGATATATAAGACTTATAAAGAGACTTGGACTCCCACACAATAATAGTGGGAGACTTCAACATCAATATTAGACAGATCGATGAGACAGAAAGCTAACATCGATATTCAGGACTTGAACTCAGATCCGGAACAAGTAGACTTAATTAACATTCATAGAACTCTCCACTTTAAATACACAAAATATACACTCTTATCAGTACTACATCACACGTATTTACAGGTTTAAATGAAATATTGGTTGGCTGCTTGTTAATTATTTTCTTCCCTC